TTATATTAATTATCATTTCGATTAATTATATCTTTATCTTTTATTATATCTTATATTAATCTATTTTAATTATTTCATTTTTATTCATGTTTTTTTCATTTTATTATTTTATTTATTTATTTAATTATATATACATATCGATATACTAATAATATCGCGCAATTATATTATAATACATTATATTACATATATTTACATACAATTGAAAACATTCTTTATCATTCAATAAAATTTGAATCTATACAAAATATTTCGAACTCAACTGCACTTTACTTTAATCTGTAAATTCTTCGGCCAATAGAATTGAATTTTAGTGCAGAGGTAAATTTTTTGTTACTACTATTATGATCAATAATGATGTGCTCGCACTACTTTATCAACTTTCGGCATCTCAGCTCCATCATAAGAAACGCCCTCATGTTAGGATCCTGTACTTTCTCCAAGATGGCCTTCTGTAAATCCACATTGACTGCTTCTATTGCGCTACTCAATCGCTCCGCATATTGAATCCATACGCAATTCGCACATCCCGACATACAGCAATTGGTCGGTTCTGTCAAATCATCCATCGGAATATCCTTTGCAACATCAGTCCGATTTTTGTCGTCCTTTTGTATCGACAAATTTCGTTGAGGATAGAGTCGACTTTTAGCAATGAATTGGCTCAATCGTAATACAGGATTCATCTGCTTAAAATTTGGAGCAAAACGCATGTTATATATAGAAATATAGCTATATTTATAATAATTAGATTAATTGAAAGGCAAAGAATATGTAGCTTTAATGTGAAACAATTGTACATATGATTTCTCTCACTGTATGATAATATTTAAATAAATTGAAAGAGAAGTCATATTTCTCTAACCTGTGTTCGCAACGGTGAGTGTAACACTAAAAACAATGTTGCCAACTCTTCTTTTGTATGGATTTCTGTTCTGGGTGCTAGTGACAATAAAAATTATAGCGAATTCGATCACTCGCTAATGCATACTAAAGGCTGCTACACATGAAATTACCTAAATATAAAAAGATAATATAAACATTTTAAAGAATTAAAACTCGACAATGATATACTGTTATGTTATATATTAAGCAATATATACATAATATATATACATTAATTATTTCATTATCAAAATATTTTTATATTATATCACTGCATTTAGATATTTCATATATAACAGCCTATAGTATCCAACTAGGACTTTCCTGCGTAGTGTCGTTAAGTTTGATATTTGGTAGCACTGATCGGGGCCGCCCAATACCACCTCGGCGTCGTGGAAGGGAGTCGCGCGATTGGCGGACAGAGAAAATTCGCACGACCCCCGAAACTCGTGCGAGCGCCCGCTCTTCCAGAGCATGCCTGCCGCAGAGGAGGCACACGAACCGTCACACAAAAGCAAGATGGAGGATCTCACAGTCGAAGTATGCGGCGAAAACGGAGCGTATTATAAGGTTCGTTCTGTGAAAAGTATACGTGGGAGAACGCCGAGGAGTCGGCTGTCAGATAGGCCGTGTCACGTGCCGCGATACGATCGTAATCACGCCGTACGGGAGCCCGTACTTCGCGAATGCACGGTCCTCGGGAAATCTCTTCGCGAGAGGGGTAACGCGGCTTCCTCCGACGCCATGTCTCGTCGTCGTTTGACAGGGCGTGTGTGATATTTTCCCCTCGGTTCCGCATTCATCGTAGAGTACTCGCGTCCCTCCCGTCCCTTCCCACGGGAATTTCTTCGTCGGCGATGCCTGGGAAAAAGAAAATGATATCGCGACACTATCTTAGTCCTCCGTGCATTCCCCCCTCTCTACCCCCTCCTCCTCTCCCTCGGATGAGTTTCGCGATTTTACGTTCAACTGGCTCGTGTACGACTCGCTAAACACTTCTAATTCTTATAAAGACGATTCTTGCTACATTCTTCATGTATTAACTTTTTTTTTCCAGGCCTTTGTCACCGATGTCTTTGACGACGAAGTTTTGGTAACTTTTGAGAACGAGTAAGTTTCTCCCTCTCGACTCAACTGGATTTGACAAGAGAGCTTGTATTTCTTTATTTATATCAATAAGAGATTCTTGTGCTAACAAAAATTTATAACACTTATGGAAGCTGTTAAATATCTTTGCTTTTATGCTATATTAATAAAACAATCTTTTATCGGTAGCTTCCTTGTATCTTGCTCTATAAAATTCTTAAAATGCACAAGATAATTAGTAAAGATCTATTTATAGTTTTATTTAATATAGGCGTGTAATCATGTAGACATCCTACATTCCTATGGATATATTATTATTGTTGAAATCTTTTTTTTTACATGATATCTTAATATTTATAATTATATGATTTACCAAGTTGCAAAGTGTTAATTATTAGTCTGCTTTTATAATATTCTCTTATAAATAACAGCAATAGAAATTAAGACGCATACGTAAAACCGTAATAAAGCAGTAGTAAAAAACTTTCTTGTAACAATAAAATAAAATGTTGCAATCACAAATATTTGAATATATGGGATATA